AAAATGGACTAGACGGCCAAAAAAGGCGCGACAAGGGTACCCTGACTTCGCCAAAACGTAACTAATGGTCTAAGCAGCTTAGTAAAAATGTATGGTGAACTGCGAAGACCAAAAGGTAAAACGTTGAAGACAAAATAACGTAACCTACCATTAAGGTACCATGAAAAACCTAAATACGGGTGGTGTAAAGGATTAACAGATAAGTGATGATAACCACTAGATAAATCAAATTTAAACCTAAATCCATTTTCAATTAATAATTCTTTAGCTACCCTGTAATCTTCGAATTTAACGTGGTCTACTCTTACATATTTGTTTAAGACACTTAAATCTAAAATGAGGCGTTTCTTGCCAGACGAATTTTCGGCAACAGATAATGGATTAATGTTATATGGCTTAAAAAATGTTTCATACACAATTTTTATCTAACAGATCCTGTATAGCTGAATCTACAAATTCTTTGTTCTTTAAAGCTGATGTTATTCTTTAAATAAAAAGACGGAGGTTTGTCAACAAACGGAATAACATAACCTTGTTTTATAAAAGAAATTATTTCATTGTTAGAAGGCCGAATAGTGTCCTTCCAAAACGAAATACAACTTTTTAATCTACCTTTAACAGAGTTTGTTTGTACAGCAACTTGAGATTCTTTGTATTCACAAAAAACAGTACTTTCATCTAACTGACAAAATTGTTCAAAAAATAAATACTTATCATATTTCGATAGTCTTACACACAAATCATTCTTGTTTGTTGCCTTCTGGTGCGAGGAGTTGGGTGGCATCAGAATTTGTTGCTGCTGCTGAAGCTGTTTTGTTGCTGGATTGCTGCACCATGAAAGCTCTTCGGTGTGAGGAACAGAAATTGGCATAATGCCCTTCTTGGCCACACTTGAAACAAATGACTTCTCCCGGAACAAAACGTCGTCCTTCCAGGTATCCAAGAGAGGAGCGTCGTCCTTCCAAGTCTGCCTGAACGTAACGTCGTCCTTCCACGTCTCCGTGACCGAAACGACGTCCTTCTGGAAATTCTGTTGTTTCGAAAAGAACTAGCAAAACGGTTATCATTAAAATAAGCATTTTTATCAGCCTTCTTTTTAGCGCGCTCTTCAGCACGACGAATTCTTTTATCATCATCTGAATCAGACGCTACTTCCAGTAACTCGTACTCTTTTATGGTAGACCACCCAAGATCTGAACCGTCAGCAATACGTATCAATTTATTTCTATGAGTTATAGCATCCTTAGCTTCAGCAAGAAAGTCCTTAGCTTTAGACGCCTCTCTGTAGGAAACTGCCTTATCAATATTATCAAGTAAGTGTAAAAACAGTGTTATTGAACTCGAACTGTTTTCCTGTTCTGATACGACTTGAATGAAATTAAAGAATCTTTTTTACCTTCTTTGTCGCTGAAGAAACAGTCCACTCAGCATCACGTTTCAAATCACGTTGAAGCGAACTAAATTTGTCATCAAAATAACCCTTCAATTCGGAGACAACTTCTTCCCTTGGAACTGTTGAAAAACTTGCACGTGGTGGCGAATTTTCCCGCGACATAATATTCTAAATAACTATAACTCTAAAGAACGTGTTTAAAGCTGTCAAATACTGCCTCGAGTGAGAAACAATAGTAAAACACCGAATATATACCTACACACTGGTACAAAACACGTGAAAACCGTGCAATGTAATAAAATATGCATGAAACAAAATATGTTGTAGACTTATCAAAGCATAAACTAAACTACGGACTGGAATGAAATAACAATGGGAAACGTGAATAATTTTATGTATTTTTATGTAAACTTTCATAGAACTTTAGCTAAGAATTGTAGATGTTCGGACGTTTTCGGTTAGTTGACAGCGTTCTTTTGTGTATGGAAATGAATCGTTCCGAACGTCAAATGTTCAGTTTTTCGAACGTCGAACATTGTCCACCGATAAAAACGTAAAGTTGAACATTTTTCGAACCTTTTTATGTTCGTTTTCTCAGATTTGGTATAAATAGGCCAGAAAACGATCAACTTCAGTCAGTTTTCATTTAACTTTCGGTTAGTGTACATTATTGTCGTGTTCTTCTGAACGGCAAATTTTACTTATTTTTATAACAAAATAAAACATAGTCTTTAGATTATTATTTAACATTTAATCAATTATTGTCTAAGAATAATTGATAAGAACTTTATAATTTTTGTTTCACATTAATACGGTCACTGACTCGACCAAACTTTATATTTACGTTTAGAAATTGAACGGCAGTCGCGGTAATAATTTATGTGAAGTCTATGTTAGACATAGCTACCGGATATTTAGGACTGAATTATATACATGTGTTGATGTTATTTACAAAACTGTTATTTGAATATTTGACAATTGAATTTATTAAAAGTTTACCACTAATTAAAATTAGTAAACTGTGAACAGTCTTTCTTTTTTGTGGCTCAATTTTAATCTTAAACTGGCATACCTCCAGAAGTGAGAAAGTATTATCAGGTACTGTGGAGTACAGTGTCATAGCCATACACAGTTATACAGAGTAGCCTACTATTGGCAGATGTCATGATAACATATTTCAGCTAAATGGATCTATAGGCTTTGACAGCCATCCAAAACAAGTATCATCAGTCCCCCTAACCCTAACAATTTCTATTTTTTATAGAACATTGTTATCATTGTGATCATTTCATTGTTCGTAAATACAATATCGTTCTCTACAGTCCAGTCCGATTATTACGGTGTTCCGTTTGGACACGTTTGGACAATCGTGACATTTTATTTATTCTGTACCCGCGATGCACGATGGTACGATGGTGAAAACGCGATGGCACGATGGTACGATGGTGAAAACACGATGGTACGATGGTGAAATCACGATGGTACGATGGTGAAATCGCGATGGCGCGATAGTACGATGGTGAAAACGCGATGTTACATCGCGTTTTCACCATCGTACCATCGTGATTTCACCATCGTACCATCGCGTTTTCACCATCGTACCATCGCACCATCGCGCCATCGCGCTTTCACCATCGTACCATCGCGTTTTCACCATCGTGCCATCGCGATTTCACCATCGTACCATCGCGTTTTCACCATCGTGCCATCGCGATTCCACCATCGTACCATCGCGCTTTCACCATCGTGCCATCGCGTTTTCACCATCGTGCCATCGCGATTTCACCATCGTAACATCGCGTTATCACCATCGTGCCATCGCCTTCCGGTGGACATGCGCATCGCCAAGAAAATTTTGGACTTGTGAGAGGCTATAAATGACCCCATATTGATCATAAGGTAACGTGTAACCAACGCTGAAAAGCATTTGACTCTATCTCAATCCATTGAGAAGTTGCAGCACTTTGAAATCAATTTTGATGGAAAAAATCAACGCAAAATAGTGATTTTTGGCAATTTTGAGATGTCCCCTCGTTGCCATGGTAACAGAAAATTTAAGCCTGAGCATGTTGTTGCAAGGGCAATGGTCCAGTCAACATTTGTGCCAAGTTTGATTAGTGTTGAAGCATTTTTTATAGTATTATAGCAATTTGAACTTGTAACGGGAGACTTTTCAATGAAAACAGCCATTTTTCACAAAATGCTCATGAAGTAATGGGTTAATAAGTGTTGTGTATTAAGATTCAATCATTATAAAACCTTTATGCACTGTGCTTAATTCATCTTGTTACGGTAAACAAGATGAATTAAGCACAGTGCATAAAGGTTTTAAAATGATTGAATCTTAATACACAACACTTATTAAATAGTCTGTGATTAATAGTGAGATCAAATCCCGTTTTAAGCCTCACTATATTTAAAATGTCTCGATACGTATAGCCTCTCACATAATACATAGTTATGCATTCATCCATTGTTGATAAAGATGTACAATGCGCATGTCCACCGGAAGGCGATGGCACGATGGTGATAACGCGATGGTACGATGGTGAAATCGCGATGGCACGATGGTGAAAACGCGATGGCACGATGGTGAAAGCGCGATGGTACGATGGTGAAATCGCGATGGCACGATGGTGAAAACGCGATGGTACGATGGTGAAATCGCGATGGCACGATGGTGAAAACGCGATGGTACGATGGTGAAAGCGCGATGGCGCGATGGTACGATGGTGAAAACGCGATGGTACGATGGTGAAATCACGATGGTACGATGGTGAAAACGCGATGTAACATCGCGTTTTCACCATCGTACTATCGCGCCATCGCGATTTCACCATCGTACCATCGTGATTTCACCATCGTACCATCGTGTTTTCACCATCGTACCATCGTGCCATCGCGTTTTCACCATCGTACCATCGTGCATCGCGGGTACAGAATAAATAAAATGTCACGATTGTCCAAACGTGTCCAAACGGAACACCGTAGGTTATTGGTCATCAAGTCTTGAGCACGTTACCACATCTTTAAGAAGATTAAAGGGGCCTGGTACCATATAGCTGGACCGTAGCGCAACTATACATGTAACTATTTTTGAAAATTCTATCATCAAAATGAAAATATTGCAATTGATCAGCCAACACTTTAGGGCCTAGTACGAGAACACGTTTGCCCAAACTACCCAAGGCAAAGTCCGATTAACTTCGATTCAAGCATTGCAAGATTTAAATGTTTGTTTTAACCAGCGTTGAATGGACCCCTTTAAGATGTATTGTTATGTTTATGTATTTATCAATGTCTTAATATGGGTATGAATACTACAGTCTAATTACCGTCCGGTATAGTATGGTTAGTTCGTAAATAAGTCATGAATTTGACCTCATCTAACGCATCCGTTAAGATAAAGATTGAAAATGTTTCATATGAGAATTTATCTTTATTGTAATTCAATGACTTTTTGCAACATTTTGCAACTTTTTGTTTTTATTTTTCGTGCCTCTGAATGACAAATCTTCTGTATGATTAATCCAATGTAATTTTTGTAGATGTCTGACTTTAATCTTAATATCATCTGGAACATTAACCCTTTGGCGACCTTTTGTATAATGTTATATTTATTTGAAGTTAAAAGGCGTACCATTCTTTGAAACTTTGAAACGAGTAAACTGAAAATGAAATTTTGTTCGGATATGAATATTTTTGTTTCTGTGTTCACAATATTTTTTGGGATGGGTTCTTGGATTGCAGTGAACGCCGTTTTTATTGAACTGCCAATTTTTGTGAATCATCTTCCCGAAGGATGGAATCTGCCGTCGTATTTGTCTGTCGTGGTTCAAATTGCAAACATTGGACCAGTTGTCTACACGGTATGGAATACTTTGCGACCAGAAGGAAGTCACGAAAGAGTATTTGTGTTTTTGATCGTGTCCTCAAGTTCTTTTGCAGTATTGCTTCTCGCATTTTTATGGAAAGAAACATCGAAGATCGGGGGTGAAGATCATAGCACGGCATTACTCGTGTTGACATTTATATTATCATTTAGTGCATGTATGTCTTCTGTAGTATTTCTGCCATTTATGAGTAGGTTAAAAGTAAAGTACATGGCTCCGTTCTTTGTGGGAATGGGTTTAAGTGGTCTTTTACCAAGTTTGATATCATTCGCTCAAGGCGTTGGGCGGACAGAATGCCGAAATTCAAGCCAGTTTAACGCAGTTACAAATGAGTCTTTCTATAAAGTACAAGAAGTGTTTCAATCACCAAAAATACCAGTAAAATATTTCTACTTTGTGATATATACTTTAATGTTAATAAGTGGTATTTCGTTCGCTTTGTTGAACTTCTTGCCGTATTGTAAAACAGAGCACATCAACATTAATGACACCCTTTCACAAAAGCATCAAAGTAATGAAGAAAATCAGGACAATCTTATGGGGATAAGAAACGAAAATGGTAAAGTAAAGAAAAGTTTGTGTATAAAGAATAACATTATATATCTGATTGTTCTCGTTTGGATTAACGCTTTGCTAAACGGTGTTCTACTGTCCGTGCAATCGTACGCATGTCTACCATATGGAAAGGAGTTTTATCACTATTTTGTGACAGGATCAAAAATTGTCGATCCAGTGGCTGGATTCCTCAACTTCTTCATCGTTGTGAAGTCTGGAAAAGGTATCGGATGCTTAACCATTACTGGGTCTGTGTTTGCTACTTACATAGTTGTCATGGCGGCGATGAGCCCGACGCCAGCATTTCTGGAGTCATCATATGGCGGTATTTTAGTGGTGAGCAAAGATTTATCTTATAAGACAGAGTAGAATAAATGTAATCAATTTGTTCTGGCAATAATTAAGAAATGCAAAAATAATACGCACGATTGCTTAAAGAAGGTAATAGATCAGTTTTACAACTATTTCTTCTGTGTGAATATACATGATAGATATTCTAAAAGTGGATTGGTCTATGATAGACACATTTTCCATAAGTATTTCAAATATTGATAAAAGCAATAGAAATGTATAATGTATTTCGATTTTTTTTTAAAAGAAATTTTTTAAAAAAAGGAAATTTTTTTTAAATTTTAAAAAGTGTTTTTAGTTTTGAAATTTTATGAAAAAAAAGCAATGTTTTAAATTTACCTTTGTTTTAAAAACTTTTAATTTATTAATTTTGATATTTGGGGCCTTTGGGAATATGATTTTGATAACCCTCGCCAGCCCATATTGACCGAGGGGGATTGGCAGGGTTTTTAAACCCAATCATGAATCTCACATTTTGAAAAAAAAACTTTTTTTTAAAAATTTTTTGGGTTGCTAATTTTTATGTTTTGATACTGAACAATTCATACCCAAAAATTGATTATTTTTTTTGTTTTACACGCCTTCCATTATAGACTTTTTTCCCTTTTAAAAATTTTTAGAAAAAATTTTTGAAGTATAGATTTGGCTTTTATCGCGTGTTTCTTTTTCTAGCATTTTTTTTTAAAAGGGATATTTTTTAACCTATTTTCTTTTAAAAAATGTAAAAAAAATTTTTGGGTTTTTTGTGGGGAAATTTTAAAAACATGGTTGTATTTTTTTCCCCAAATAGGGAAAAGATTCCCATAGCAGGGGCTTTTTTTTTTTCAAAACAAAAAAGGAAAGGGAAAGTTTTCCCCCTTTGGGTGGGGTTTGGGGCTTTCCCCAAAGCAGGGGGGCGATTGGTTTTTGCTCTAATTTTGCCCTTTTTAATAAACGTTTTCAAATTTTTTTTTTTGACCGACCAAAAATTTTAGGGGTATGTCGTTAAGTCCTATTTTAACTGAGTCAATCATGTATATATTGGAATTTTTATTGTTATTTCTATTTATATAGTGTCATCTTTGGGTAAAAAGTGATTACATATAATAAGTAAAATTATTTGTTTAGAATTATTCATAAATAACATTGTGTTTCACGGCATTAAATTTCTACATTCAGAATACATTTTCCTGTTGTAAATATTGTTAAACTTACATAAAAACTTTAAAAATATATGCAAAATTTCACACTTGTAATAAGTTTTATAAAGTGCAAAATTTGAGATCCATTAGCTTGTGTTTGTTATATTTTTGGTCAGATCGGTAATGTCAAGGTCATAGAACGACAAACCAGCATCTAAGGTAGAGATAAATTTCGGTTGCCCTTTCATGCATTATATCAGGAATGACTCGAACCTGAGTAGTGGCCAGCTAGGTGGATAGTTTCCTTTACGAATGTGCTCGCATTGTCGTGATTCGAACCTACAGTGGTACGGACGACAAGTGATTATGGGCAACCACAACCACTACTACATAGCATTCTTCATGTAATATTAAATATTACCCAAAAGTATGTAAGTAGTAAAACTCCATTTATTACAGCCCTCGGCGATTATTTTAGTTGATAAGATATTTTAAAATATGACTTCAAAGGCTTCTTTACGCCAAAATATATGATTTATTTTCTTTCTGCACCAATCGTTATGCGCGAATACGTGCTATTTACAAAGAACTTTGTCATTGCATAAATAGGTACATTTGGACTTCTTAATGTAGGACATATCATTAGTAATAAATTTAGAATCACTTCAAACGAAATTAAATAAACGACTTGATTATATATGTACAAAACGTACGTAACGCTTTGCTGGCTGGCCTACTTTATACTGATTACACCGATGACAAGCTATTACATAGTAATGTGAACAGGGCTAAGCGGTCTTTGTTTTAGGTATACTGGTTTAGCAATGGACAGTGTGCTAGAAAAATGAAAAGTATCTCTTGAATTATTATGATGCCTATTAATTGTGGTCCACAATTTACATGTGTATATGCAAGAGTTATGTACTCAATAAATGTTCCGTCTTGATTTAATTCTTTTCTTTTTATTTTGTAAACTAAAATAACTCCTTGATATTCAAAAAGATTTTTTTTACAAGAAAACGAAAAAAAAAAAAGACAACATAACAATGAGTAATATCTATTAAAGGGAGGTTAAAAATTTTATGTCTTGATCTCAGGATTGCAATTATCTCTCCCCTGGTTTTATTCTTTATATTGTGATACTATGTTGTTATACATAACACCATAAGCCCCAAAAATTCCCTTCGATTCTAAGGGCTTTGAAAAACTTAGAAAAACCATAAGGGAAATTTTTTTCAAACTTAAATTTAAATAAATTTAACCCCCCCCTTGTTGTTTTTGTTCCATAATGCTTTTTATAAATTGAATGAAAAAATTTTAACCCCCTTGTTTTATAAAGGGGTTTTGGCCCCTAAGGGAATAAGGGTTTTAAAGCCACCGTTTTATACCTGTTTTATCGAAAGGGCGAAACAAAACGGGTTTTCGATTTACGGGGGAGTCTTTGTTTTTCCCTTATTTTTTCCAGAAAGGAGAAATAGTTTTTTATTTCCCCGGGTGTTGTTTTAATTTTTGTAACCCCCATTTGATAACCCCAAAATTTATTTTTTCCTGTTTCGGATGAAATTTAGCCCCTAAATTGTTTTGGTACCCCCCGTAAAAAAAACAAAGCAAAACAAGAAAAAAGAAAAAACAGTAACGTTATTTTAGCATGTTTTTTTAAACCAATGTTTTTGCTCTTTCACTTTCCCACCATTTTCATTTTTGATAATCGGACGTGGGTTAACCCCGTTCATCCCAAGGGAAACGGGACAGGGGTTAAACCCTTTCGTGAAATTATTTCCCAATATATTTTAAAACATAATGCTTTTATTTTACATGAGGGAAAAATTTCCCAAAAAACTTTTTAAAAGTGAGTAAGAAATTTTTATATTTTTTTCCCAAATTTTATGGGGACGAACTATTTTAAATTAAAGGGGAATCCCCAAATTACATAAGTGGCACTTTTGTTTTATTTTAAATTTACATTGTATTTTTTTGGGACTATTTTTGCGCATTATTTTACATTTTTATTTTTAAAGGGAAAATGATTTAAGAAAGATTTATTTTCCTTTTTTTTAATCAGTGAAAAGAGCTCCTAAAAAACTTCTAAGGTGAAAAAGCCTAAAACATAAAAATTCCATTTCTTACATACATTAGCAGGGGCACTGAAAACATAAAGATATGCAAATGAGGGTAAAGAAATATACTCAGAAATAAATTGAAAATCGTATTGATTGCGCTATTTTTAGCCCAATTTTAGTGAAAAACGTTGCAATGCTTTTCAATTTCTGGTCATCTTTCACATTTAAATAATTATTCTTGAAACAAAACGGAGTGAGAAAATGATCTAAAAGTTTGCAATTTATTGGTCTAGAACTACATTAAATGGAACATTAAACTCGGAAAATTATTTCTCCTCTCATCATGTCAAGAAATTCAATGAAGGCCATTTAAACTAACATTTGACAACAGAAAGCACGTACAATCTTACCATAAACTATTGGTCTGTTTGCTAAGCTTCATACGGAGATCATAAGTTTTATAATCCACAGAACGCTGGTTCGATCCTCGGAAAGGAGACATTTTTCCGTACCAATTGATCACGAACATTCAGTAAATTGGTCATATATCTCACTACTGGTTTAGAAATCATACGGACTTTGTAGTCGGTCACTTGCAGAGAAATTGAAAACAAGTACTGGTTTGTTATTCAGGAAAGCCAGTTAGAAGGTTCAGCCTGCGAAATATGACAAAACAATGTTAAACCAACCAACCAACATACCAACCAACCAACCAACCAACCAACCAACATACCAACCAACATAACAATCTACCAAGCAACCAACCAACCAACCAACCAACCAACAAAATGTTTATTCATTACAAATTCCAGTTATATTCATTTTTCGTGAAGATAAATCGGAGTTGTTAGGTTTCTTTTAGTTATCTAGATATTTTCTTTGTATTAATCAATACTTGATAGTTTAAACGTACGCATGTTTAAGTTGCACATATAAGTTCTTCATTAATATCGGCAGTGGCCCATTAGGCGTGTATTTTTTCATTCATATATTTGGCATGATATAATATAATATAATATAATTATGGTACAATACAATTATGAATATTTAAAAAGACAAAATATGAATATCATAATTATATACATGTAGTTATATAATATTGAGAAATTTAGGTCATGTACTACATGTACAACAATTTGGGTCAAAATATAAAGAGAATTCGTTCAATGAAAACTGACATAATCGTGCCGAGAATCTTGCTAAAACTTATTCTCAACATCTATACTGTCACAATATTTTACAAAACAGCATTTGTACGATTTCTCGTGATTCTCGTGCGTTTTGACATGTCTATATACAATAGAGCTATATTGTGACAATATAGTGATTCTGTATATGTATATATTCTCAGAGGACATACTTTGAAATTTCTGCAATTCTTATTTGTACATCGCCTTGAAAATAAACGATTATTACTCGAAAATACTTCTTCGATTGCAGAGAATAGCAAAATGTAGATTAATTTTAGCATGTGTAAATAAAGTCCTGAGAGTTCAAAGAGTTCTTGTAATGGTCAAATTACATGTATTTAAAATGTTTTACGCTTATAAAATGTTGTCATCACAGTCACATGATAATCTGGCAATAATCATTATTATTAATTAACTTTTCAATATTAAGTGTATATTTGTCAATAATTAAGTGTTTTCAAAATGGCCTTGTTATTGGGCTTTAGACTAACATATTAGCCTTCGGGCTTCGGCCTCAGGCTAATATGACAGTCTTTATCCCAATAGCAAGGCCATTATGAAAACACTTAATTATTAACATTATATCAATATCAATTGGATGTTTACCATATTGCTTGCCTGTTTTTATTTACTACTTGTCAGAGAATTTTAAATATTTCTGTCAATAAACACGTCATTTACAACAATATTATTACAAAATTAACAGGCTGAAA